TAAGGATGTCTGACTGCAGCTTAGGCCTGCTCCCCACTGGCAAGTGGACATCCCCCGAGAGCTCCCGGGCTGCCAGAAGGAAGTCTGACTGCCAGCTTAGGCCCAATCCCCCAGGGAGTGGGCCTAAGCCAGCAGGTGGTCATCCCCCAAGGGGTCCCAGACTGAGAGAGGGCACAGGCTGGATTGAGGGACCCCCCTCGAGTGCACAAATTTTTGTGCACTGGGCCTCTAGTCCTATATAATACAGAGGGAATATGCAAATTGACCATCACTCTGCCACAAATATGGCGACACCCACAGTGGGGGGTGTGTGGTTTCCGTAACACAAGATGGCTGCACCCACAGCAGAGGCTGAGCTCCCATAACAAGCCTTAACAAGCAATCAGCAGGGACCTGAGGCTGCGCGCCCCCCCCCCCCATGGGGCTTGATGTGGACCTCAGGCCGCGCCCCCCCACCCTGGTGCCAGGCCAGGGGACCTCAGGCTGTGCCCCAACACCCAGCAGAGCTTGACGGGAGACCTCAAGGTGCACCCCTCACCCCAGTGCTGGACCAGGGGACCTGAGGCTGCTCTTCTCGCCCCGGGCTGGGGGACCTGAGGCTGCACCCCCCTCCTGGTGGAGCTTGATGGGGGACCTCACGCCATGCCCCCCGCCCAAGGGGGCTTGACAGGGGATCTCAGGCTGTGTACCCCACCCAGCGGGGCTTGATGGGGGACCTCAAAGTGTGCCCCCCCGCCCCAGCCCTGGCTGGGGGACCTCAGGCCATGTCCCCCGCCCTGGCACCGGGCCAGGGGATCTGAAGCTGTGCCCCCCATCCAGCGGAGCTTGACAAGGGTGGGACCAGCTGGGTCTGGATCTAGCCCAATGGGGAGGGGCCAGCCAGGTCTGGGTCTCGAGCCATTTTGAGGCACACATGGGTGGGCGGGAACTTGACTCTGGTTCCCGTGGCACGCCCCAGACCCTGACAAGAGGAAGATTTTCATATACATTTTACTAATTTTCTTTGATCTCTGACACTTCTATTATAGAGAAAGGGCAAATAGCAATATTAAAATATTTCCTCTAATTAATCCCCTTTAATGTGCATGAATTTCATGCACTGGGCCACTAGTAATTATTATAATGAGATGTAACTTCTAGTAATACAGTTTGCCCTGGAGAAAAATAAAGAAGGGAAGGAGATAAGAGAGTGCAGTGGGGTGTTACACTTTAAGACACGGCAGGCAGGGAAGCATGGGGGCAGAGGCCTGAAGGGGATGAGAAAGGGAGTCATGTAGACACTGGCGGGAAGAGCATCCAGGCAGAGGGAACAGCCAGTGTAAAGGCCCAGAGGTTGGAATGGTGTCCATGTGTAGCTGGAGCACTGCATCCCCTCCTCCCGCAGACTTGGGCCTCAGGGGCATCTTCAAGTGCCACCCACTTTTCCCTGGCACCTAGCAGGCATCTGGGCACTCACACATCACCACCTTTGATGGGAAGACTGTTGAAGTCCCAGGCACTTATTGTAAGATCAGAGTCGTTCAAGGAATTAGGCAGACTCAGCGAGCAAGTAAGAGGGGAGTTTATTAGAGGGAGTGGGGGGATGGAGCCACAGTTGGGGAAGGTTAAGACTCAGCCTCTGCTGTCCTTGGGGTTGAATTTTATGTGCCAAAAGCACAAGGGGCGGAGGCTGGGGGATGCAAGTGCTCTAGTCTGATTAGATAGAGTTCGTTATCCTTCAACCGATTAGTGCTGGCCCTGGAGGCTGTGGGTTGTAGGCGGCCTTATCGTTGGCCGGCTGTCTCGCCCTCGGTGCGGCTGCCTCCTGTTGAGCCTGACAGGCTGACTGTAGGCTGTTCCGCGGAAGGAGGCTGGGGCCACTTTCTCATTCAGGGCTTTCTAGGCCACCTGAGCCACAGTCCTCTGCTGGCCGGTCACTTAGCTTCTGTCTTAAGGATGTCTGACTGCAGCTTAGGCCTGCTCCCCACTGGCAAGTGGACATCCCCCGAGAGCTCCCGGGCTGCCAGAAGGAAGTCTGACTGCCAGCTTAGGCCCAATCCCCCAGGGAGTGGGCCTAAGCCAGCAGGTGGTCATCCCCCAAGGGGTCCCAGACTGAGAGAGGGCACAGGCTGGATTGAGGGACCCCCCTCGAGTGCACAAATTTTTGTGCACTGGGCCTCTAGTCCTATATAATACAGAGGGAATATGCAAATTGACCATCACTCTGCCACAAATATGGCGACACCCACAGTGGGGGGTGTGTGGTTTCCGTAACACAAGATGGCTGCACCCACAGCAGAGGCTGAGCTCCCATAACAAGCCTTAACAAGCAATCAGCAGGGACCTGAGGCTGCGCGCCCCCCCCCCCCATGGGGCTTGATGTGGACCTCAGGCCGCGCCCCCCCACCCTGGTGCCAGGCCAGGGGACCTCAGGCTGTGCCCCAACACCCAGCAGAGCTTGACGGGAGACCTCAAGGTGCACCCCTCACCCCAGTGCTGGACCAGGGGACCTGAGGCTGCTCTTCTCGCCCCGGGCTGGGGGACCTGAGGCTGCACCCCCCTCCTGGTGGAGCTTGATGGGGGACCTCACGCCATGCCCCCCGCCCAAGGGGGCTTGACAGGGGATCTCAGGCTGTGTACCCCACCCAGCGGGGCTTGATGGGGGACCTCAAAGTGTGCCCCCCCGCCCCAGCCCTGGCTGGGGGACCTCAGGCCATGTCCCCCGCCCTGGCACCGGGCCAGGGGATCTGAAGCTGTGCCCCCCATCCAGCGGAGCTTGACAAGGGTGGGACCAGCTGGGTCTGGATCTAGCCCAATGGGGAGGGGCCAGCCAGGTCTGGGTCTCGAGCCATTTTGAGGCACACATGGGTGGGCGGGAACTTGACTCTGGTTCCCGTGGCACGCCCCAGACCCTGACAAGAGGAAGATTTTCATATACATTTTACTAATTTTCTTTGATCTCTGACACTTCTATTATAGAGAAAGGGCAAATAGCAATATTAAAATATTTCCTCTAATTAATCCCCTTTAATGTGCATGAATTTCATGCACTGGGCCACTAGTAATTATTATAATGAGATGTAACTTCTAGTAATACAGTTTGCCCTGGAGAAAAATAAAGAAGGGAAGGAGATAAGAGAGTGCAGTGGGGTGTTACACTTTAAGACACGGCAGGCAGGGAAGCATGGGGGCAGAGGCCTGAAGGGGATGAGAAAGGGAGTCATGTAGACACTGGCGGGAAGAGCATCCAGGCAGAGGGAACAGCCAGTGTAAAGGCCCAGAGGTTGGAATGGTGTCCATGTGTAGCTGGAGCACTGCATCCCCTCCTCCCGCAGACTTGGGCCTCAGGGGCATCTTCAAGTGCCACCCACTTTTCCCTGGCACCTAGCAGGCATCTGGGCACTCACACATCACCACCTTTGATGGGAAGACTGTTGAAGTCCCAGGCACTTATTGTAAGATCAGAGTCGTTCAAGGAATTAGGCAGACTCAGCGAGCAAGTAAGAGGGGAGTTTATTAGAGGGAGTGGGGGGATGGAGCCACAGTTGGGGAAGGTTAAGACTCAGCCTCTGCTGTCCTTGGGGTTGAATTTTATGTGCCAAAAGCACAAGGGGCGGAGGCTGGGGGATGCAAGTGCTCTAGTCTGATTAGATAGAGTTCGTTATCCTTCAACCGATTAGTGCTGGCCCTGGAGGCTGTGGGTTGTAGGCGGCCTTATCGTTGGCCGGCTGTCTCGCCCTCGGTGCGGCTGCCTCCTGTTGAGCCTGACAGGCTGACTGTAGGCTGTTCCGAGGAAGGAGGCTGGGGCCACTTTCTCATTCAGGGCTTTCTAGGCCACCTGAGCCACAGTCCTCTGCTGGCCGGTCACTTAGCTTCTGTCTCTACCAAGTCCTTGAGTCCCTTGGCTCATTGGCCCTTTTCAAGGTGGAAGTTGGGAAGGAGAACAGGTCCATCTCAAAGACGTCTATCCAGGCAAACGGGACCCAGACTGTCGGCAGAGAGAGCCGTGACCTGGCTGAGGTAAGCACTCATTGGCCTCTGGAGAGCTTGGTTTGTTTGAAGCTATAGGAAACGCATTGGCTCAAGCTAAGTAAAACCATGTGACACATGCCCCAGGGCCGTGATTCTGGGCCCGTGGAACTTCTTTGTATACCAGTTTAGATTTTCTTGGTTATAAATAACAAAAAACACATTAAAACTCACTCAAATAAGTCAGGTTTCTTTATTCCATAACTAAACAATCCATAGTGAAACCGGGCGTGGTTTGAACGGGGTGCTGTTTCTCAGCTTTCTCTTGGTCTGGGGCCTCTTTAGTTTTAGCTCTGTCTTCAGGCTGCCTTTCTTGTGGTGGCAAAGTACTGGAATTTCCAGGTCTCCAATGTGCATTCCCCATCGTCCAAAGCAAACCCCAAATCTTTTCTTCCAATTACTAAACAAAACCCCCGAGCTTCACTTTGATTGGACCCCACTGATCCAGTGTTGTGGCCCAGAGATTGTCTTAAACCAGTGGTTCTCAATCTTCTGGCCCTTTAAATACAGTTCCTCATGTTGTGACCCAACCATAAAATTATTTTCGTTGCTACTTCATAACTGTAATGTTGCTACTGTTATGAATCGTATTGTAAATATCTGATATGCAGGATGGTCTTAGGCGACCCCTGTGAAAGGGTCATTCGACCGCCAAAGGGGTCGCGACCCACCGGTTGAGAACCGTTGTCTTAAACAAATCCAGTGTTAGTTGCGGAAGCTGCAGGTGTGAGAGATCCCCCCAGCCCACACAGCTGCTCATGGCAAGGACAAGGATTCCCAAACCAGTATATCTTGTTGCAGAAATTCTGTGAATTTACATTTATTTACAAAGAATGTAAATGCCCAGGAAGACCTGCCCTCTGAGACCTGAGACTTTTGTCTGGAATCCTCAGGGGTGGATGTATTTTCCACGCCTGAGGTCCCCTGCCTACAAGCATTCCATTGTTAACTGTTGGAATACACAGCCGTGCCCCTCCCACCTCACCCCTTCCAGGAAGGGGACAGCTTTCAGAATTAGTCATGCTGTCAGCTTTCCACACAACAGCCCTATTGAATACAAAGGACAGCCTGTAGAGTGGGTGCTATTTTTATCCCCATTGCACAGATGGGGAAACTGAGGCCAGGAAGGGAGACTTGCTTCCCCCAGATCACATAGTGAGAAAGTGGTGGAGCTAGGATTTGAATCTAGGCTTTCTGGCTCTGACCTCCTTCCCTCTCCATCTGTGGACTTCATGTGTTCCCTCAAAGTGTGATCTACTTAAGGAGAGTTGGGTACCAGGTTCATCTGTTATGGGGCCTGGGATATAGTAACTCTCAAGAATGGTTTTCATGTATTCACTCAACAAGTATTTCCTGAGCATGTATTATGGACCAGACCCTGTGCTCAGTGCTGGGGACACAGAGGGAATAGAATAGACCAGGTCCCTTGCTCACTGAGCTGGCATTCCAAAGGGGAGAGACAATAAACATGACCGGTATGTGTATAATTGTATAGTATGTCAGGAGGTGATAGATGCCAGTGCTATGAAAAAAATAAAGGACAGAACAGGATAGAGGGGTGGTAGATTACAGGTGGAAGCTATGGTTAAATAGAGCGACCAAGGAAAGCGTCATCAGGAAAGTGATGTTTGAGCAAAGCCCTGAAGAAAGGAGATGAAGATGGGACATGGGTACATCTGTGGGAAGAGTAAGTCCCTAGAGGAGGGGCAAGAGCAGATTCTGGAGGCTGGAAGGTAGCTGGGGTGTATGAGGAATAGCAGAGAGGCCAGTGTGGTGAGTGAGCAAGTAAGTGAGAGGCTGAGGGAGAGAAAACGAGGCCAGAGAGGTGACAGGCAACCAGCTGGAGGGGGCTTATGGGTCGTGGTGAGGACTTTGGCTTTTTACCAGGAATGAGGCACAGCGAACAGAGCTGAACCAGGAAGGCCCTGACCTGACTCAGCGGTTCACAGGCTCCCTCTGGCTGTGTGTGGGGAGCAGACTGTAGGGCAGGACAGGAGCAGGACAGGAGCAGGGGACCAGGGAGGAGGTGGCTGTAATGTCCAGGAGGCAGGGGGTGGAGGCTGGGCCAGGGTGGGGCAGTGGAGCGGGGTGGCAGTGGTTGGTTCTGAAAATATTCTCTGGGGTCTTATTCCCTCTTCCCACCCTGCTGTCTGTTCTTCAGACCCTCAAAGTTATGTGGGGCCCTGCTGTCCTTTGTCACCCCCCCCCCCCCCCCCCCACACACACACCCGATGTGAAGGCAGACAAAGTTGGCTTGGAATTCCAACTTTGACCCTTAATTAACTGTGTGACTGCGGCTAAGTGACTGACCCCTATGTGCCACAGCTTCCTCCACAGAGAGAATAATTGCTGCCTAGCAGGCAGTGTGTCCTGCAGTTGCATCCACCAGGATTGTTCTTTGAAAATGAGAGAGACTGTTAGCAGTAGGCAAATGACTCAGGGATGTGCAGGCCCGTGGAGCTGGCTCTCACTGGGCACAGCGCCTTCTTGGACACGGAGGTGCTGGGAAGGGGGGATGGGGATGCTAAGATGTCAGGGATCTGGCTGCCAGCAGGCTGCTGGGTCAGTGCCTCCCATGGCCACAGAGCCAAGCGCTCAAAACTGCAGACTCATCTTGCTGTCTCTGCAGCCAGGCAGGAGCCTGCCAACCCTAGTGCCAGCCACAGAGCCTGGGGCCCCTCGGGCCAGGGCTGGGCAGCTGAGAGGGAGGCTCCACCACTAGGAAGATGCATAAGGGATCAGGGACTGGAAGTTGATCCAAGAGGAGGAAAAGGTAGACATTTTGGGAGGGTTAGGATTAAAAAGACAAATATATATATACTAGGGGCCCGGTGCACAAAAATTTGTGCACTGGGGGGGGGGGAGGGGGGGGCCCTCAGCCCGGCCTGTGCCCTCTCGCAGTCTGGGACCCCTCGGGAGATAACGACCTGCTGGCTTAGGCCTGCTCCCGGGTGGCAGAGGGCAGGCCCAATCCCTAAGTGCAGCCCCTGGTCAGGCTCAGAGCAGGGCCGATTGGGGAGTTGGGGCGCCGCCCCGTCATGCACAGAGCAGGGCAGATC